GGGGCTACAGTAATCGCTCCCAATTACCCATATTCTTTTTAAAATGTTGTTTTCCCTTCCATAGCTCTAACTCTGTTTTTCCTCATCTTCCTGTAAATTTGATTTTAAGAGTGTTCCTCCAAGTCTCTAAGAATTTCCAGGAGTTACATTGCCTCACACCTTCTCCTGACACTGTACTTCTGTGATCTGCCTCTCTCCTGCAGGCCTGTCTCATTTTGTCTGAATTTGATACCATCTCATCTCTTCAGTATATCTTCAGATATTTTCAGTGTCACTCTGAGCATGCCCTGTCTCAGTCTGTTCCTGAATCTTGCTTGTCAGAATGCTTGCTGCAGGACTCTAAATCCTGCTTGATCTGCAGTGATGGTTTTTAGCATTTATATATTTATGTATGTATGTATGTATGTATGTTTGATTCAAAAACTGATCTCTGTGTAACTTAAACAGGGTTTGATATTCCTTTTTACCCAAAAGTCTCCAATTAAATATTTTCTATGGAATCATGAATTTGTTTTAATGATTTTAAGAGTTCAAGAGATCCTGTTTTCCCAGAAGTGGTGTCGAAAAAGTGAAGTGTAAGCGTGAGATGTCTGTTTCAAAAGTTTAGCAAGCTGCAGTAAATTGTGCCAAGTCTGTATATCTCCCAGATGGTCCGTAGCAAATCTGAAGAGAGCAGTTTTAGTACTTTGGGGGAGCTATGGGATTTCACATGCTGTCAAATAAAAATTGGCAAGATCCGTCCAATCTTCTACACTGAAGCCATCCCAGATATATCCAGGTCTCAATAATTTATTTTTTTTTGTGGCATTGCAATAAAGATGATAAAATGATAATTAAGTTCTGGTTATAATTGTATAATTTTTTGTAGTGAGCTGTACTATTTTACTGAAATCACTGTGGGTAAGTAAAATTTAAGTATATTGTATGTCTATTATCACATAAATAGTAATTCAATACTTCAAAATATAGTCTTTTCTTAAAAATGCTTTCTATTACTGGAGTTTAGATGCTTAGTTACAAATGCATATACAGATTAGGGTTTTATTTTTTCTGGAAATATTAATTTGATATTCTATAAAATAACGATAGGCCTATTGTTAGTGTTCTGTGACTTCTTTACTGCTACATTAGATAAGTAAACCCAGACATCTAAAGATTGTTGTTCTAAGATTAACTTTTGCTTAAAATTTGTTTTTATTTAGGCAAGAGTTAATAATACATCATCTTAAATCATGTATCACTGAGGTTGCTGATGTCTTAGTATCATACAATCCTGAAGAAGCCCAGGAGATTTTCTATTTCAACTCCTGCTCAAAGCAAGGTCAACTAAAGCAAGTTGCTCAGGACATTGTCCAGTAGGGTTTTTGATATCTCCAATGGTGGAGATATGTTTAGACAGAATTTCCTGTGCTTTAGTTAGTGCTTTTTGTCTTGTCACTGGGCAGGACTGAGAAGTTTGGTTCCATCTTCTTTACTTCCTGCCCTCCTTCCAAACTGGGTATTTTTTTCACTTTGATAGGATCCCTTTTGAGCCTTCCCTTCTCCAGGCTGCCTAGTCCCATTTTTCTCAACCTCTCCTTACATGACAGATGCTCCAAGCCCTTAATCGTCTTTGTGGTGCGTTGCTGGACTCAATCTAGTATGTCCATGTCTCTCTCGTACTGGGCAGCCTGGAACTGGACCCAGCACTCCAGATGTGGTCTCACCACAGCTGAGGTAGATCACCTCCCTGTCTGCTGGTGAAGCCAAGGCAGCCCAGGATCCTGCCGGGCTTCTTTGCTGCAAGGGCACATTGCTGGCTTGGGTGCAACTTCTCGTCCTCTGGGGACCCCCAGGTCTTTTATCTCAAAGCTGCTTTCCAGTGAGTAGGCCCCCAGCCAACTGGTGCTTGGGATTAATCTGCGCTTTGATAAATATCAGAGGTTTCTGGGAAGCTTCATAGCATCACCGATGGATGGATCTGTGATTTTTGAGTCTCATTCTTGTTTCTGAGGTGTTGTTTTTGGTACAAGTTATTTTAATTTTTGAAGTGCTAGGTTTTGTATACCTTTTTCTGGAGGCACATAAGATTCAAATGCATGTTACTGTGCATCATCCGTACCATAGCATATGTTCTGAACATGTGTGCTCTCTTTCCGTATCGGGCATGTGGGGAGAAGTTCAGGTAGACCTCAATGGAACATCATTAAGCTAAAATTTGTCACTTCTCTTTCGCCAGCCATGAGATGGCAGTTTTTGCAGCTCAGCTGATCCATACAGTTTCCTGCTGGTTACTCAACTGTATGTAAGCTTGTTTACTTGCTAAGAAAATAAATGAAAATAGCAAATGGAATGCTTATTAAATTTGTGTTAATTAAACCCAAAGCAGATGTCACACTTATGTTGAAGTTTTCCTTTTCAAAACTAGTTCTCCCTCCTTATAATGGTAAAGGTCCTCTACAGTTCAGCTCAAAAAAGATACTGAGAGACAGTAAAATTATGTATTTTTAAATTATTTATTTTACAACAGTACCCCTGTGTTAGCTCACTTCTTATTTCAGCCAAGGTTTATGGTTTTCATAAAACATTTACTGGAACATTGTCTTTCCAACTGTATCTTATATACCCAGGCAACTTTTTCAATAAGGCATTTGACATTTAATACAACACATAATCATGTCCTTCAAAAGAATGAGGTAGAAAATTCTTTGATGAATGGACTATCTTTATAAAAAGGAATTTTTTCCTAAATTTGCGCTACCAGAGCAAGCAGCATGGCTTAATTTCTCTTAATAAGAACAGTGTCCTTAGTTTTTTCTGGAACAACAATGGAAATGTCTTTTTGTTTTTGTTTTTGTTTTTTTTCTGAGTAATTCAAAGAATAGAAGACTCACGTTTTATCAAGCTTTCTTCTTAAGGAAATATATGCACTGAAAACATCAGTATTTCACAGCTGTGGGGATATCTCCACACTGTAAGTCCGCACCCAGTTTTTTTGAGCAGGTGGTTCAGCGTGTACCTGCAGACAGATCTTCCTTCTCAAGCCCTCTTCTGTTGTGTCTCAGTCCTGGGAAGTGATTCCAGCATTCTGTCATCACTTGTCTTGGATCGTGGTTTCTGAGGCTCACAGACCGAGAGAGTTGAGTAACTTACTGTTCATACACGGGACACATATAACACAGCATTTCTGTGAATGAACAACCCCTTTCCCCTTGCCCATCTTCATTCTGTTGGCAGACTGTTGACAAATTTGCAGCAAAACCCAACAGGATTTGGAGGAATATTTGCTTACATTTAGCTTCAGAGGTAGCCTGTTCTTGCAAAGAGTTTTTATCCCATTCAGATTGACGCTTTGAGCAATTATGTCCCCTCTGTAGAAGTAAAAATGAAGATTCCTGAAATGCATCTTTTTTCTTATATCTTTCTATTTGCAGAATGCCAGTGTTGTTCCTTCCTTTCTGTGTACTGATGCTGTTACTGTATTTGCTCTGTTTTCCAAAATTGTCTTTTTTAAAACTTTTTTGCTACACCTACAGTATTGTGCCTTGCTGCATGGCCAGGATACCACCTAACTGAGATGAGGACTTCCCTTACTTAATGTAGTTTTGATTGTGCTATGTCGGTGCTAGGTCTTGAACAAAACTGTAATATTCTACTCAAAAAGCAGTTCTTGATAACTAAATGGCAGCTTAAGGCTTCTGCTGCTCCTTTATTGTGAGCACCTGCTCATGGGGAATGAACTGAGATGACAAATGTATGGTTGGTGGCTAAACTTTGAGGAAATGTGAAAATTTATTGAATCATCCATTGATGTTTAATTTGACTGCTAAACATGCATATTAGTGTTATTTACAAACCAATACTACCTGAATCATAATGAGAGTTTGGCTTCAGTTGTATAGCTTTTGCAATCTATTCTTCTATTCCAAATTGGTTCAGAACTTTCTGAAGTCATTATTTGACTGCTTCTGGAAGACCTAGAGGCACAATACAAGCCAGAGGACTGAAAAATGTCAAAGGGAGAGGAATGGAAGAATTGGGAGTATGAGAAGATTAAAAACTGTTTCCTATGAAACGTGTGAAAATTACTTTAGTTTTATCAGTACTATACTAAAATTGCAGTGTGTGTCTCTGTCAAGAGTAACTGTTTTCATATCTTTGGAGTGAAATAAATATAAATATAGGAGTTCCTCCATGGCTTCATAACCAGGTGGATTTTGAAACAGATTCAGAGAATTTGTGGCATGCCATGAGTCATTAATGTTAATCTGAGGCCATCTTTAAGGCTGAAAGACTACACCCCTGTAACTGTGTCTTGTAACGCTATTACAGTTCTTCAGTATGGTTCAAAACCTTTGTATGTATTTGTCCAAGTTTTACCTCTTTGTTGAAGACAAAGACCTACTTTTTACTGGTTTTGGTCAACTCTTCTGTTTTTTTCTGTTTTTTTTTCGGGAAGGGCAACTACTATATAGCTGCTGTATACCTTCCCAAAGTTGAGTGATTTCAGTATAGCTGTTTACTTTCAACTTCCTTCTTATATGTATATACTAAAGTTACTCAGATATCTTTAGTATCTTACAGTACAGAAATGCAGGAGGGCAACTCCTACGTTTTAGCCTTTTTAGGCAGTAAAGAAATTTTAAATTATGACTGTAGCAAGGCATGTTGGGTTCAGATTATATTTATTTATGCCTGACTAAGGATGATTTTGACAATGAGGGGAATTGGACTCAGTTGAAGATTTCTAGTTTCAGCTCATTGCTTTGCCATAGGTCTCCTATGTTGACTTGTAAATTCATGTGAGGGCAAGTTGTACAGTGGTACTTAGCATCCATTTTGTCAGCAGAACAAATAGCCGTTCCTCAAAACTGTTCAGCATGTCTTATAGGGAAGTGATTGGAAAAATCATTAATACTAATGAGATGCCATGGCACTTTATTTAGGACAACATCAGGATATAAATAGAAATATCTAATATCTTTAAATATAGTGAGACTGTAATATTGTTTTAACTACAGGTACCGAGAAGCTATCCACAAGTGGGATGAAGCACTTCAGTTAACTCCAGAGGACGCTACTCTTTATGAGATGAAATCACAGGTAAAGCGTGACAATTCTTTATCAGTTTAGAAATGAAAAAAAGAAATCAGTGCTTGTGAACAGATACTGTGCAACATTGTATAGTTGTTGTGTGCATAAATTACAGGACAATTTAGGTTTTTCATTTTTCCCAATACAGTATCTTTTTAACAGGAATTAAAATAATGCTGTTATCCCAGCCAGTCACAATAAACAACATCTTTGTTAGGACATGAATTAGGATGTTACAATTTGGAAAAAACAACTGAAATATTTAAAACTTGTATTGAAAGGAGCAAAGAGAGCTTTACTGTGATAGATGAGCAATTTTGAGCATTAAAAATCTGCCTGCTCTTAGTTGGCTTAATACTATCAACATTAAACAGGGATACGGTATGCAAAAGATATACTCCAGTCTGTTTTCACATTAAGTATTGCATAGATAAATTAGTTGTGGAAAAGAACATTAAACAGAGTATACTTGCGATGTCAATTCACCTGAGCCTTTGTCTTAAAGCTGAGGAAAAAGGCTTGCAGCCACGAACACCTCACTAAAGTTATGAGATCAGCTTTGTAATTTCAGTGTGTCTTTGCATGGTTTAGATGGCAAAAGTGCCATGATCCATTTTTTGTTTTGGTTGGAAAGCTTTTGTTTCTATCTGTATCCAAAGGTACAAAAATACATATTTTTTCTGTATTAAATAAAAATGCTCTTCTGCAAAAAAGATTTTATTGTGGATTGAGGATGCGAACAGGAAATATATGGCTTTTTTCAACTAGCTGGACAAATTAGAATGGGAAAAATTATTTTTAGGAAGGTAGCTACTCAAAAGATGGCTGAAAAAATGTATTGTTTAAAGTTAGGGGAAAGGAAAAGAGAAAGTAAAATCATGGTACTTCAGTGACTGTGTTATGTTACTTTTAGGAAGCTTGCTATATTGTTTAGTTCTAAAATCTTTGTTGTTACTGTAATACTTTCTTGTAAAAAAAAGCAAAACAACCTCCCCCAAAAATGCAACCAATCAAACAAACAAACCCAAACCCCAACAAAACCCTAACAAAACCCAAGAAGTAAAGCTGGCTGTTTTCCAAGGTGTGATCATTGCTCTTTTGTTTCTTGGATTTTATCACATCTTGTCCTCACAGTCATGTTGTCTGTGAAGCAAAGAAGGTTCAATTCTGCAAAGAAATTAATTCAATAATTATAAGCTCATTTAAATACAGTAAAGCTGAGGGAGGCTTTCATTTTATATACCTGCAGAAGGTTTAGATCTTACTTGGTTTTGCATTTGGCTTGAGAAATACTTTGTGGCTTTAAAGGTTTTTCTTCTTGAATTATTTTGGGAGAAGTGTATTGTTGAATTGCTTTGTCAATGTATCATATGTATATAAGGGATCCAGACAGACTGTGTTAGGAAGAATTCAGGGAGGAGTGTTCATGAAGAGTTGATTTCTGACTTGGTTCTTTAATTTAGATGGTGTTGGTAATAAGACGCAGTAATTGTTTTTACTTTAAGTAATTGCATTTTTCTAGTGCAATTCTCTCATTCTGTATTCTACATGGTACTGAAAAGTGGGCATTTGTTCTCCCAACTTTCTCACACAGCTAGATTTGAAGTTAATTATTTCTTCCTAACTTCTAAAACAGGAGGCATGTAAAAAAAAATCTCTTAATGCATGTTGTTCAAACCTCGTGGAAGTTCTGCAATGGTACCTTCTCTTAACTTGGGCACAATTAGGATCAGATCTATATGTTGTTTAGATAGCATATTACATTTACGAATGTCCTGTATGATTTAGGTTCTTGACTCCTACATTCTTCTATAGTTCTATGGTAACAAAACATCTGAAACATGTAAACTTCCATTGAATATTTACTTGTATTTGTATGCCTTAAATGAAAGATCTGTCTAGCATAGTATCCTGACAGCTTCCAACAGTGGATGTCTGGGAAAACATACAAATGGTACAAGCATGTAGTAGTACTTCCCTCACGATACTTTTTGCAGCCTCCAGCAAGCTTTGGACCTGGGACTTCTATGTTTAGAAGTGCTTGAAAGACTTTCTTCAACAAATCTGTGTCATTGCTTTCTGCAATGTAAACTTCTAGCATCTGTAGAACTAGGTGCCAAGGCATTCCAAATCTTAATTATGCACTGTTGGAAGAAACAGAATAATATAATTCTGCTTTAATTAGCAGCTTTCCAGGTTCCTATAAAGGTTGTTAACTTATGTGGCTGTTCATTTGTACATGTAATTTTTAACTTCACTAGTACAGAAATTCTGTTAAGCTGTTATCAGTCCTGTATTTTTTACTGTAGCTTAAAGATTTAACTCTGTTTTGAGTAAAACAGACCACCTAGTAGGATTTCTTCTAGGTTGGAAGAGAAACAGTTCATGTGCTCTGATGCTGGCTACTTAACACATGGTGTTTCTGAAGTAGCCTTTATTTTGCAATTAGAATTTTTTTTTTTTTTTTTTACTTAAAGTCAAGAGAAAGCTGTTGAAAATTAGTTATACTCAGTGGGACAAATCAGTGAATAGCTCTCTTGTAACAGTTCTTTATTATCGTCTTACTTGAATGCAGGAATTAAGCTAGCTCTCCAAAAATACTCTCAAAAATACTCTCTTAAATTGGTATTTTACTAAAATTAAATATTTTCACAGTGGAAGTAAGAGGAGAATAGGGAATTATATTAGCTTACCAGGATCTGAACTATGATGCCTACTATACTGTAACATCCTTCAGTCAGAGCTCCAGGGCAGTTGCTTACTCAGCACCCCAGTCCCTGTATTTCAGCTAAATGGCAGAGGTGAGTTGGAGGAATAAGGCACATGGCTTTTCTGCTGACCAGGAGGAGCTGAGAAACCAGCTGCGTATATTATCTTGTAAAATGTCTTTGCCTGTCTAATGAAACCATTGGAGAGTAATGAAAGCTGAAAGAACAAAGGAACCCAGGCCTCTGCTTCCACCACGCCTTTGCTTCCTTTCCTGAAGAGGAGAGCAGTGCTGGGCAGCTGCAATGTTGCTCTTTGGTTTCACTTTCTGATATTGCATAACACTTCTGCTATACTGTGACTGAGAACACAAGAAAAGTTAATGTACAAAATGTGCATTTATAAAATTATTTCTTGAATATTTTTAACAAAACCTCTAATCTTTCAATTGGTAACTTGTCTCTAATACACACAAATAAGTGTTACAGATGTTTTTTGCAGTATGACTTATGCTTACTGGAAGCTGATTAGTACAATGTGTAATTTGATACCTTTCTACCCTTAAAGGCACTAATGTGAGCTGTAAAAATCCATTTTTGCCAAAATAGGAATACATAGTTCATTCTAGAAATATTGTGGTTAATATTTATACGATACTGTCTTAGAGCCGACGATGTTATTCCAATCTGCCATACCAGCACAAACACTGCAGCTATTATTATGTAGCTAAACAAGAAAGTTTTGGTAGCTCACATCTGGAAGAACTGTACATCAGCTTCAGGAAGAGCTTGACCAGCACTGGGCCTATGAAAGTCTGTCTGTCTTGGTATGTGAGTCACTTACTAGAGGAGATGATTCATGTTAAGAATGACTTTGTGCGATACGCAAAGATTCTTTATGGTCTATGCTAATTTTCTTCCAGTGAGGAAAAGTCTCCTCATGAAGTAATTTCTCCTGAGAATTAACATTGGATGGAGTGTTTTGCATGGGCTTGAATATCTGTATATCTTCTTGTATTTATTAAGATAATCCTGTGTTGAGTTATATAGCAGCTTCCCAGTTTATTAGTATTTCCTTTCTCAGCAGCAAACTTAACATTTTAAATACCCTGTTGTTTAATATGCAGCTCAGATAAGTATGCTAGGAATCTGTAAATATTTATGGTAAGTTCTTACAGATCTGTATTTTAACAGATGTAGGACAAGTATCTTTCAGTATTTCTGAAGAGTGGAAATAATGTTTAAGGTTCCCAGTTGTCAATGACGTTTGTAGTAAATCTCTTTCCAGAAAAATATATGGGAATTATGGGATTGCTCAGCTACTTCAGAAACCCATAAAAGTTGATGAGATTTTCTTCCATTGCTCTCAGCTACTCTTTCATCCATTTAAAAACAGGTTATTATGATGTAGGGAGAGGCTAGCGGTGCGCTTAAAAAGTTCTTTGCGTGCAAGATCTTTCAGTGTATATACTTGATATTCTGTTACCAGCCTAAACTGCTCCCCCCTTGCAAGAAAGAGTGGCAAGTAAATGTTTATGCAAGGAGTTCATTTCTGCATTTTTGTTTAAAAAAATCTTAAAAACCGAAACCTCCTAGTGTTGATTCTAGTTTCATAAGTATATTCAAAGGAGTGTATGAAGGCTATCTATATTACTGCAGTCGCTAAGACTGCTTGAAATTCTTTGTGGGCTAAGTTTGTGGGCTTAAACATTGCTATGATTATTGTTATAGCTGATTTGAATTACGAAGATGGAGGAAGAGGCTTTGAGAAATTATTTGAATTTGGGTCTGAACGTTTGTATGCTGGACCATGTGGGACCCTTTCTTGGGTGAAGAGAGGTGTCACATTATTACATTATAACATATATAATCAACTGTCTTGGGAATGAGGCTCTCTGCTATTCTGTACCACTCCTGAGAACTTACCTGGTTCATGTTCTCATCCAGTGATACTTCCACTTCAGATCTCAGGTAACATTGTCAAACACACTGTGTATCTGTGACAGGTTTCCTGCAGTACACCATGCAATTGTTTATAGATATTTATAGAAACAAGTAAATACAAATGTAAACAAAAAATCAGGTTTATCTCAGTTTCATAAGCTTTTTGGATGTTTGTCATCAACTGTTTGAAGATCTAGTTTCTGTACGGCCTTGCATCCTCAATTTACATTCATTGAACAGGACTGGGATTTCAGATATATCTTTTTTTTCTTTTTTTCAATAGGCCAAACCTATCATACTCATATCAAAATAATTTAATTTCCCCTCTTCTAAAGGTTTTCTTAGTCTTGAATCATAGAA